GGCACTCAGTCGGGCTTGTATCCGTTTCGGGAAATAGACTTAGTATCTACGAGTAGGAACTTAACTTTGACAGAAATATATCATTCTTTGGACACTGTATGTCCTGCCACATTGTATGTGGGTCAGCTGTGACCCATTAGAGGAGTTCTCTCCGTGCCTTGGGTTCTTCACCTGGGAAGCAGCGATGACCATAGCACCCACCTAGGGTGGTGGGAGGACTGACTGCCTGGAATACACTTAAAATAGTGCTCGGGCCAGGGAAGTATTCGATAAGTGCTAGCGAGCGTTACTGTTAGCAGCCTCCTTTTGTAGAGGAGGTTCAGAGATGTGAAGAGACTTGCTCAAGCTAGAAGGCAGCAGAGTTAGGTCATTCCCCCGCAGCATCCTGCCTCCCCAGCACCGAAGGAGAACAGAAAGTAGAAAACAGTGTCTGTTTTGAACGGAGAGTATTTGACCTTGAGGTTTTGGTGCCTTCCACTACCCACTCTAGTAAGTTACTTTAAGAGCTCACATGAATGCCAGTCAGTTCAGGTTGACTTTCCAAGGCTAGTGGGCAGACTGGTAGCTAGGCTGACCGTGAGAAGGGTCCTGGAGTGGAAGACAGTCCCCACCCTCACCCAATCCGAAGCTGACTGCATGTGTCTACACACACGTTTGTTTATACACTAATAGACCATCTTTCATACAGCTGTGTGTTTCAGATCCTGGCTTCCAAGCTGTGTGATTTTCAGCAGTTCCCCCAACGTCCCTGAGCTTGTTTCCTCATCTTGAAAATAGGCATACGAATACACAGCTCATAGGTTTTCCTGAAAATTATAAAGATCCCGCAGAATATGCGTGCACATAGTAGATGCTCAACAAATGATAACTATCATTACTAGATGTGATGATTATGATTTTTAAAAAGATTTTATTTATTTGACAGAGAGAGCACAAGCAGGGGGAGCGACAGGCAGAGGGAGAGGGAGAAGCAGGCTCCCCACTGAGCAGGGAGCCCGATGCGGGGTGTGATCCCAGGACCCTGGGATCGTGACCTGAGCCGAAGGCAGATGCTTAACGACTGAGCCACCCAGGTGCCCCACTATATGTGATTATTTTAAAAACATGTTTAAAGGTAAATCTTATTTTCCAAGAGAATTCTCTTATAGACATGCTGCGTGTCCAAAGTGGAGGAAGCCTGGAAAACGATGGGACCCACGCCTTGCCTAGTTTTACAGGGTCGCTGACACAGCTGGGAGCGTTGGTAAGGCAGGAGCCCACGAGCCCCGGTCCAGGTCGGGCCGCCAAGTTGCCCTGACTGTACAAGATTCCTGACTGGTCTCTCGGTCTCCCCATCCTTTCCAGGAGCGCTCAGCACGGTGGGTGACCCCCCTGCTCCCAACCTGCGGCGCCTGAGCCACAGTGTGGAAATGCCGTGCCTCTGAGCAGGGCGGGGGAGGCCCTCTGCAGCCGAGCCCTGCCTGTTTCTTTGGTCCGGTCTCTGGCTCCTGTGGTCCTCTCCCTGATCGCACCACAGAATGCCTGCCCTCACCCTGCCGTCGTGCCTCCAGTTAGCTTTGCTCTCGGCCTGGACTGCCTTCCGTCCCTCCTCAGAGTCACTGCAGCAGTTCCGACTCGACCTTGAAGATGGAACTCAGGGACCTAACTTCTACTCCAACTTTGGGACCTGCCCTTTGTGCCTCTACAGCAGCCAGGGTCTGCCTGTATTCCGGTCCCTACACTGTGGCTTGCTATGACCTCTGCCCTGCCGGAAGATGACCTGAGTGTAAGGACCACGCTTTGTCCACCCCTGTGCCCCTGTCACATGGTGAGTCCTCGATGAGCTTTGGTGAGGTTAATGGCCTCACGGTGCTTCCTGAGCCCAAGGCAGACTTATGCAGCCAGAGGAATCCCCCAAGGCCTCTCTAAGCGGTATGTAATTGGTGCTTAACATGTACTTGTCAGACAATGACTTAACAAAACTTTCCAACCCCAAAAAGGCCACGTTCATGCTGATGTTTCCATTATAAATTTTTTTTTAATTAAGAATACTGATTAACAACAGGAAACAGATTTAATTCACGGAATTGTGCATATGGTCATCAGTTACATTGTGACATGTTAATTTCCTTATCATTTATTGGCACTGTCAACAGAATACTGTAAACAAGATCACTGTGAATGCGTAAGTCGGCGGAGCTCCCTAGCTATGGTTCTCTACCATGAGCTGATATACATATGTGTATATATATATATGTGTGTGTGTGTGTGTGTGTGTGTGTGTGTATGTATAGAGATAGGTATAGATACACAGGTATATTAATGTTCTGCACACTTTTGCATGGTTACTGAGTGTCAGTAAAAATTATAAAAAAAACACCCATTTATAATAAAAGTGAGGATGTGCTAAGACTTGCTATTACAGGACCTTGTTTTCTGTAAAAGTGACAAGACTTGCTAGAGATAGTTACTAAAGTCTATGGCACTGATGAGCGATGGATTCATTCCCAGACCGTCGGCCACAGAAGCACTCCACGGGCCCCACCCTAGTCAGCCACCTGTCAGCTGGGCTCCCCGTTTTTACTCACCTCTCTCCCTACAATTGTGAGCCCTGCCGAGAGTCTTTTCCTTCAGATTCTTCCAGCTATACCCCCACCCCCAAAAGAGGATGCCTCAGGAACTCATGTGATGCCCTGAGCCAACAAGAGCGTGTTGAAAAATGGCTTAAAAAGTTTCACGAGAAGTAACTTCCCTTGGTAAGGAGTAAATAAGTCTGGAAATGACTTTCCAGGTAAAATGATTCGTTTCTCTATGATTGCCCCGTGGGAGAGAACAAAATATTTATAGCCACTCTCTCCACCGAAGAGAGCTGAGTTTCTAGTTGCGCCCTGGCTTGAAAACCTTTTGGACTCCGGGACCTTACCGCATGTTTGCACCCAATGCTGAAGTTCTCCAGAGAAAGCATACTTATGCCAATAAATGAATTATGGTTTGGTTCGCATCTGATTTGTTTGTTAAATAAGGCCTTAATCTTGGGATATTGCCTGTGGAACCTGGATCCCCAGTGGAAGGTGTGAGTCTGTGAACTGATGTGCCTTGAACGTGCTGTCCCCTTTTGTGTGACACTCCTCCTTGCCTTGTCTGCTTGGAGAACTCTTGCTCATTCTACCAAACCCTGCTCAAATGTTACTTTCTCCCCGAAACCTCCTGAGCCTGCCTGGCACTCCCTCTGATTTCCCGACGTTCCCATACATCTGTCACAGCACTTGCCACTTGGCTTGGATTGCTGGTTGAAGAGTCTGTGGTCCCCAATGAGATGGGAGTCCCTGGACAGCAGGGACCATGTTGTATTCCTAGTGCTTAGCGCTGGGCCTGGGACAGGGGAGGGACTTAGCGAAAGTTCCATGAAGGAATGACAGAATAGAGAGATGACCATCCGAGCGAGTGGTACCCGGCACAGAGAGGGGGGCAGACACCTCCGTTCAGCTGGCAGAGCAAACAGCCTCACACTGACACAGTCCTTCTGAAGAGCAACCGTTTGCACGGACCACGAGATGCGGCGTGCGCCAGAGTCCACGGATCTGACCGCGTCTGTCAGACATGCTAGTGCCTTTCCTTCTCTACAAACGTAGGTTGAGGACCACTTGGAACAGTGGAAGCAGAAAAGAAAAAGAAACCACTACCACCAGCTTGAGGTGTTTGGATGATTAAGTTATTAGAAGAGCAAAGTGCTGGACTGAAAACCCTGGTGTGTCCATCTCCCGAGACAGCCGAGCCGGCAGGGGGAGGCAGAGCGTTTCCCTCGGGGCAGGGGTTACAGCGGGGCCTCCCGAGTCTGCCCACTAAACACCACTCCACTGCTGGGCGACAACCAGAGGCTCTTTGTAGGACATAGGAAGTCCAGTCGGTTCCAAGAATGTCTCACCTCCAGAAGAGGCCCCTTGGCCTCCACCACCGTCCAACTAAGCATTTAACTCATCTGCCTGGTAAGTTACATCCTGCTCTCCATCAGGAAAACCTGTAATCTGGAGCGGCAAGTACAAGGAAACCACCTTGAACCAACAGGCAATCTTTTCTGCATGGTGCTCTGGTGCCTTGAGTTCACGGTGCTTCCCTCAAGAAATCTAGTTCAGCAACTGGTTGCCCGTGTTGGACAGCTTCGCACAGCTCTGCCATCCAGTGAGGCCTGCTCAGGAGTGGAGCGGAGGCCCCCGGGGTGAGGGGTCCACGGGTCAGACCCCTGATGCCCGGGGAGACAAGAGGAGGTGGCTCTGCTGCCCCAGGGCCTGGGCTTCCGCTCCCGGTTGACTGGCTTGTGCCTCTGCCCTTTTGGCTCCTGTGTGTCCCGTGGATGCCCAGGCTGCAGTCCCCCCCACCTCCGAGGACTGGGATGACATTTAACAGAGGGGACAGAGTTGGGGGAATGGAGAGTGGCGAGTAAGAAGTGCCAGAGCTGCCACCCAGAGATTCTCCAAGGCCAAGGCCAAGCCCCATCAAGGATGGAATTCACAGTTCAGAGGATCCCCAGATGCACTGAGTGGAGCGGCCCGAGTCATCAGGAGGCCACAGGACCCCTTCCCACACTGCAAGCTCCAGCCTGATGTTCCTACTGTCCTGCCCTTGTGTGATTTGTCCTGTCCTTTGCTGAACTATGCATGGGACCTTCTCAGAGCTCCAGAGCCGGGCGGGAGGGGGCGACCATGTGGGGAGCCCGCATGGTCAATCACTCAGTATGGCACTTGAGAGGGACTGGAACCCAGAAGTCCCAGCCCCCATCCCGGGAGCAGCTGTATTCCCTTCCTGGCTTCCAAAGACACTGTTGGGGTCAAGGTGGGCACATATATGGCCAGGACCCTCATGGCCCTGCTGAGACGATGTCCAGGGCTCACGCAGACTTTCTGGGCTTAGACCCATGTGCGTCATTGGCTCTGCAGGGAGGAAAATCAAAACCAGCCCTTCCCGCCTGTCCCCACCCCCCTAAAGCCATCACAAACACCCCCTCCCCACAAAGAACCCTTCAGTTTACGCATTCGCCTCTGATACTTTAAGTGAAAACATGAATTAGGCAAACTAATCAATTTGACAACAGTTGAGATCGGGGCTTTCTCAGAGTGTAGTGGAAATGGCTTCTTTACTTGAAGTCTGCTAAGATGTCGCTGAAAATATTGAGGAACAGGTGCGCGTGGTGATCCCTGAAGACCAGAGTGGGGCGGAACCGAATGGATCTGTCCCCGCAGCCTCCCAACACCACGCCTGAAAGCAGAGGCGGGGGGTGCGGTCAGCGGCCTGGGCGCCAGCTGGGGGCTGCACATCTTCCTTCCGTCCAGCTTCCGTCTGTCCTTCCACCCACCCCGCCGGCCGTTCTCTCCTTCCCTCCCTCCCACCTCGAATGCCTGCTCTGCTGCCCCTGAACCAGGCCCACTGAGACCTGCCTTCCAGAAACTCATGGTGGGGTCAGGAAGGAAAGAAGCAAACGGAGGTGATGCAGTGCGGGCAGCCGGCAGCAGGTGCAAGGGGCACAGCTGTCACCAGGGGTGGTCGGGCCTGCTGATTTTAAAGGGTGTCTTGCACACTGACTGGCTGGGTGTTCTGGTCAAGGTCTCGTAGCACCCCCGAAACAGCTTTCTCATTACAGAGGAGATGAGTTACCCCTGCTCCTCGGGAATTCTGAGATGGAGCAGTGAAGGGGCTGAGTCTTGCTTGACCCATCTCAGGCCCTCTGATCGCACACTTTGACCCCCCTGAGCCTCTCCCGTGGCTTCCCATAGCTCAGGAAGAAGCTGGGACTCTTGAACGGGCTCCACAGGCCCATGTGACATGCGCCTGGCAGCCCCTCCCCACACTCCGTTCCAGATGCTTCTCTGCCTCTGTGGGCTCCATCCTGCCTCAGGTAATTGCACACGTGCCTCCCTCTGCCCGAATGCCCTTCCTCATCTTCACCTGGCCAGCCCTGGCTCACCTGGCTAGACCTAAGGTAAAATGCCTCTTCCTCAAGGAAGCCTCCCCTGATTTCCTGGTCTTCACACTCCTCCCCCCTCACCCCCCCGCTATTCCATCCTTAGCCTCCTTTCCTTCTTCCTAGGATGCAGAACTACAACCTATGGTTTATGAAACGCCATCTCACATGGTCCTTCCTGCTAGACCCTGAGCTCCTTGAAGGAAGGGCCCCAATGGTCTTGTTCCTTCATCATCTCAGTTCTCTCCTCTGTTAGTGCAACTCACCACCTCAGTGAATATCTATCAAGTGAATGAATAAGGAAGTCTGCTGGCCACTTCCCCTTCTTTTGAGAAAGAGCACTCAGACTGTTTTCAGCCCCACAAATCCCCTGCCTCCCTGCGCCCCGCGGTGCACCCTCCCCAGGTGACCTGGGTCCCTGATGTGGCTCAGCTTCCAGTCCTGTTCACTTACCTTTGTTTCTGGCTATTAAAATGAGTTTATTCCGTATGGTTTCATCAGGAGTGTCGAAGGAGCAAAAGGTGCCTCGTCCTCTCACTCTGCTGATGAACTGGGGGTACCGGGCCTGCAGTGGGGGGAAAAGGCTGCATCAAAGCCCGTCACCCAGGCAGCAGCCGGGCTGTGAGCAGCTCCTCACGTGCCCCCCAGGGTCTGGCCTTCGGGCCTCTGCACGTCCGGCACAACGGCTGTGGGGTTACGGGCTCTGGCTCTGTACACATCCAGTCCTGAGTCCAGAACCTGCTCTGTGTCTTTCTCCTGATGCACCCTGGGGCCAGTCGCAGAAGTGGCCCGTGCCTCAGTTTCCTCTTCCGTAAACCCAAGGATGCAAATGCTCTTGCCCCCCACACACTGTGGTGGGAATTTAGTGACCCAGATTTCTATGTCAGGCGCAGGGCTTAGCACTTGGCAGGTGCTCAGAGGATGTTAGCCATCTCTGTCAGCGCTTCTAGAAAACCTGTGAATCTGAGGAGAGGACGCTCATCCTCACTCTAGGCTCTGTGACTGGGTACTGGGTTGAACAGTGCTCCCCTCCCCAAATTTACGTCCATCTGGAACCTGTGAATGTGATCTTACTTTGAAGTAGAGTCTTTGCCGATGCAATTAGTTAGGTTAAGGGGAGGTCACACTGGATTAGGGTGGCCCTAACTCCAAGGATTGGCATCCTTACATGAGGGAGATCTGGACAGAGACGCGGGCACATGGGAACACTGGGGGCAGAGGCCAGAATGCATACCCACAAGCCAGAGGACACCCAGGATTGCTGGCTGCCACCAGAAGCCGGGAGAGGTGTGGGGTGGAATCTCCTTACGCGCTTCCAGAAAGAATCCCTACGTATGCTGCTGTCTCGATTTCAGACTTCTGGTCTCCAGAATGGTAAGAGAACCAATTCTTGTTTTAAACCACCCAGCTTGTGGCCGTTTGTTCCAGCAGCCCGAGGAAGCTACTGCAGTCAGTCGGCGTAGAAGATCTTTGTTCTTCCCCACTCTGTTGTTCATGTGAAGGAAGGATAATCGACAGGGCCTGCGTGACCCCAAATAATCTCAGGGCAGGGGCGCCTGGTGGCTCTGTCAGTTAAGCATCCGACTCTTGGTCTGAGCTCAGGTCATGATCTTAGGGTCGTGGGATCGATTCTCCCTCTGCCCCTCTCCCTGCTCTCTCTCTCTCAAATAAATAAATCTTAAAAAACATAATCTCAGGGCACTGGGGGAAGAGCCAAGGGGCAAGTGTCATCTCACTGGTGGGAAGTGGAGATAAAGCCACATTCTGGTGGTAATAACTGGGCCCATATGTGTGCCAGGCACTTACATGCATGGTCTTGAATCCTCACTCCACCAGCAGAGGAGACCATACGATCTCCACAGATGGGGAAACTGAGGCTTGGAAGTGACTGCAGTACTTCCTCTGTTCTTTCGTGCACATGCTGACTGGCTGGAGGGTCTCACTTTACCCCTTCAGCGTCTGGGCCACCCGGGGACCCCCCAGAACATGGATTTTGAAGTCCACCAGAATCAGGTTCCAGTTGGTGGATTGGGTGCCATATGGAAGCTGTGTCACTTTGAACAAGCTAATGACCCCTCCATGCCTCAGTTCCCTCATCTGTAAAACTGGGATAGTAACAGTGGCTACACTCACGTATCCCTGCTGGACTTCACCCCACGGGCGACTAAGAGCCCCTGTTCCAGGCCGGGCATGCAGCAGGCGCTCAATAAACAGGCTGTTACAACTACTGACTGACCCCCCTTCCCCACCACCCCTGCCATCGCCCTTGGTGGTTCTGCTCAGGCCACGGGCGGCTGGACCCTCCAGCTCCGGGCAGAAGGGCTCTTTGTGACCATCAGCTGGGGAGGGTCAGCCGACCTCCAGCCTCAGCCTGCTGGGTGTGCTCCCGCCGGCCCGCCCCGTCTGGGCGAGTCCTGTGTTGGGTGAGGGGAGGGTGTTGGGCAGAGAGCACCACATAACAAAGACACGCGGTAATAACAGAGCTGTGCTGTCCCACGCGGCAGCCACGCGTGGCCTGAGATGTGGCAAGTGCTACTGGAGCCGTGCTGTCCGTGTAAGGTCCGGGCTGGGTTTCCAAGTCTTAGTGAAGAATACGAAATCCAGCAGTGACTATTTTCTGTATTGACGGCAGGCTGAAATCATTGTATGGATGTAATGAGTTATGTAAAATACATTATTACTAACTTTGCGTCCTTCCTTTTTACTGTCGGTCTGCTATTAGAACGTTTAAAGTTGCTTCTGGGTCTTGTCCCGTTGGACAGCGCTGCTGGGAGTGGTACGTGTAAGAGGACAGGAGCGACAAGGGCCAAGGTGACAAGTCGAGGGAATGTAAGTGGGGCGTTTGCGAGGCTTCTCAGAGGACAGATGCCTGAACTTAAGAGAGCCAGGGGCTGGGAGTGGGGGAGGGATGGGCCCTACAGAAACAGCACGGGAGAGCAGGTACAATACCATGCTGGCAGGTGGATGGTGGGGACGGTGGGGAGCCACGGGTGGGGGTCTGGGAGGGGTACCTGGAGGTCCAGCAGCCCCGTCAGCAGGGCCTTCCCAGCATGCGCTGCGTTGTTCAGCAGGTCCTCCCGCTTGATGATGTTGATGACCTCGGCCAGCAGCAGGTTCTTGGATGGGTCCCCCAGCCAGGTGTTAAAGATCCGGTACGGCTGGAACGAGGCACAGGGTGTCGCCAAGGGTTCACGCACAGGCACACCCTGGAGGGGCCCGCTTCCCTCAGACACATTTGTCCCTCCTTAGGAGGAGAGAAACTAGCCCAGCGAGCATCTACCAAGGCCAGGGAGGGTAACGCACATCATCTCACTGAATTCTTCCTGAAACAACAACCCTCTAGCTAGGTGCTACCGTTAGGGAGACCAAGTCGGCCCATGCCCTGGACAATGCCTCGGTCCTGGTGCAACCACGATAGTTGGCCCTTAACTACTATAATCCTCATTTTATAGAAGAGGAGCCAAGGTTCTGAGAGGTTAGGTGATTTGACCCAGAAAATATAGGTGGCAGAGTTGAGTGGAGCACACCCAGCAGGCAGAGGCTGGAGGTCAGCTAACCCTCCCCAGCTAATGGTCACAAAGAGCCCTTCTGCCCAGAGCTGGAGGGTCCAGCCGCCCGTGGCCTGAGCAGACTCAAACTGTGAGTCTGACTCACAATGACCACCGATTTATTCCTCCATGAATTATTCAGGTGTCAGTGCAGCCAACTAAAACACACTTCCCAGCGTCCCTCGCAGACAGGAGTGGACATGTGGACCGGATCTTAGTCAAAGTATTAGAAATAGAAATGTGGGATTTCTGGGAAGGCTGCTTTATAAAGACAAGAAGGGAGCCACTTCGTCCTTCCCTCCTTTTTCCTTCCTACTGTCTGGAATTGATATGTGATGGCTGGAGCTCCAGCAGTGATTTTGGATCATGAGGCAATCTTGAGGGTGGAAAGCACATACAGGAATGGTGGAAGAAAAGATCCCGGGCCCCTGATAACTGTGTGTGTGTATGTGTGTGTATGAGAACCGCTCTGTAAATCTCGAAGTACAGTGTAGTGGTTTAGAGCATGGGCTCCTCGTTTGAATCCTGGCTTTGTCACTTAACAGGCTGTGTGACCTTGGACAACTTACTTAAAACCTCTCCGTGCCTGATTCTTCATTGGTAAAATGGGAGAGAAAAATAACACCTACTTGGTTAGATTGTTGTAAGGATTAAAAGGACATGAGAAGTACTTAGAACTGGGCCAGGCACAGAGCCGATGCTCAGTTCACAGCAGCAGCTCTTAACAACATTATCGTATGGGCACACGGAAATCAGGAGCCTGACAGTGGGCTGCGAGGAAGTTGCCCTGAACAGATCTGGGTGATCATAACCACTGGCTCATTACATTGGTAAGAAGTGGGTGTCAGGGGCCCTATGTGACCTGGTGGGGGTCCACTCAGCTCTGGGTTTGGAGAAAGGAGTGGTGGTGAGCCAGGAGAGGGCGGGCGGCTACTCACAGCATTGGGCCTGAACTCCTCTTTGTGGAAGAAGCCCCCGGTCATCATCTTCTTGCTGAAGGTCATCACGTCCGCGGGGTCGGCCAAGCCCCAGTGCTCGTGGGCCCAGAACTTGCCGGTGCAGCCCCCTCCTGTCTGGACCTCGTCCACCAAGAAGGCACAGCCATGCTGGCCGAGAAGGGAGAGAAGGAGCAAATCAACACCCACCACTGTCGACCAGCATCCAGCCAGAGACGCATGACCTTCTGGTCTGTGAATCAGGCCCCTGCTCCTGGGCCTTGCACAGCAGCTCCGTCGGAGCTGGACCTGAATCTGTCCTCAGACTGCTGAGATGGAACAGGATTGTAACATCGAGTACGCCCTGAACCCATGCACAGCGACGTTGCATTTGGCTTCAGGCCCCGAGCAAGTAAGCGGCCTCCCTCTGCGGGCCGGCAGTCCCAGCAGAGAGGCCCAGACCTGCCCCCCAGGCTCCAGCTGTCCTGTCTGCCAGTTTGACTCACCACCCTGACTGCTAGTTACTGAGTATTTGTGTTTAGAGCAGCTCCTGTCTCACTGGTGGGATGTGCCAGTTGCACGTGCACGAGATATTAAAGTAAACACGTGATACTAGCCTAGAGTCTGCTCATTTTGCATCTGTTGAGTGTGGACCACACTGGGCTGAAAGATGAGGTGGGGTCTGTAGAGAGAAAAGGAGGCGGCTGAGGCCTTCCCAGGCGTCCCTGGATTGGGAAAGTCCCTGACTAACATGGCAGGGTGGAGACTGGTTCTGCAGTGAGATTTGAGGGAGAAACTCCCGACCTTGCCCCTGCCTCCAACGCCTCTATCTGTGAGGCCACTGGGCAGCCTCTGACCATCTGGACACGTGCGAGGACCCCAGAGCTGACCCTTTGCTCCGGAAAACCAGCTGGAGAGGGTCCATGGCCCCGACCAGCCCCAGCCCCATGCACTGACCTTCCTGGAGATGTCTCTCAGCTTCCGGAAGAAGTCATCAGACGCGTGGTTGTCTCCACCCTCAGACTGGATGGGCTCCACGATGATCCCGGCCACCGTCTTCTTCTTTTTCCGATATTTCACAATCAGATCCTCCACCTGCATTCCCGGGGGCAAGTAACAGTGGTTGGCGGAAGCCCTAGTAGGGCAGCGTCCACGGCTGGGCAGGTGGTCCACCCCCACCCCGAAGTGACGCCAGAACACGTGTTCACGTGCACTTCTGGTGAAGACTGTGGCATCCTTTTGGGGCCGCTTGTGTGGGTGGGAATGTGTCCTACTTGGGTCTGGTGCTATAGCACCTGCGGGGGAGAAACTAAGGACTCGGGCCACAGAGGGACTGAATGAGACCACCCAGCATCGGGTCTGGCGTATGGGAAGCGGTTGCTGCCGTCACTCAAGTACATACTATCACTACTGTATCGTTAGTGTGATATTATTACTGGTAGAAGAATCCTTTCTGCGCAGAATCTCAGATGTATATTTGTTTAAAAAAACGGTGATTTCTAGAAAAACTTCCATTACACATGTAGCTAAATATTTCTATTGGACGGGGCTGTACTGGACTCCATTCTCGTCTCTTGTCTTTGCCACTAAGTACCCAGCACCTGGCACCTTGTTCACACGCAGTCCATGTTAATTATTAACTGATCAAAAAGGATGACATGTCTAAGAGGCAAACCAGCCTCAAACCAGCCTCACTGGAGCTCAGATTCCAAGCCTGAAGAAGTTTCCAGTGTCTTTTCCCCAGCAAAGACTCCTTCCAGAGTCTAACATGGAAGCCCAGTATGTGGAACAGATCGAAGGAGGGCTGCTGGGTGTGGCGGAGGCGCGGCAACAGGGGGCTGCCCGTCCTCAGTCCCTCCCCTGCCCCCGCTGCAACCCCAGAGCAGCCCTAGGACTTGGGAGAAGGCTGAAAGCGGTGGATGACAGGGTCCTAGGTGTCCACTCTTTCTATGGGCTGCCCCATATTCTCATAAAGTCCCTCTTGTTCTGGAGTCAGCGAAGCTTGCCCCCAAAGAAACTTAAGAGATACAGAAATCAGGACCAGAAATGGGGTGATGGATGCCAGGAGGCAAAATCAAGGTGTCCGTTACTTTTCCTGGTGCAGAACATGTGGAACACGAGGCCTCTCTGTCCCTACGTCCCTCCCAGGGACCACCACGCAGGTCCCAAACTCTGCTCCTCTCCGCCCGGGGTAAGGAGACGGAGCAGTGTTACCTCTTCCAGACAGCGGGCTTCTTCCTGCTGGTTCTCTTTCACAAACTCTTCCAGAGGGTATTTTAGCCGTGGGAACGGTGCAATGGGCCAGTCAAAGGAAGGGATGTCGATCTTGTGGATAGCTTTGGAGTGCGTGGTCGCTAAGCATCCTAGGCCAGCAAAACAGAAGGCGGTTGGGCTTGGGGAAGTAGGAGGAACAGTCTTTGAAAAGGAGATCATGGGCAATTCAGGCCACGTCTCCCAACGCCCAGGGAGGCCTGCCGCCTGGAGTTCCTGTGACGCCCTGATGCTGAAGCAGAACCTGTGTGCGTGTGCGTCACGTGCACGCACTCTGCTTTCTGGTTCATTGCAGACTGAGCAGATTTCGAAGGCACGGAGCCAGGGTTTGAATGCTGGCCGTGCCACTGGCTGCCCTTGGCCATGTTCCTTCCTTGCCGAGCCTCGACTTCCACGTCTGCAAAGTGGGAATAACAACCCCCCCCCTGCAGAGGACGGTGTGGAGTCAGTGAGACACTACGTGTGAAAACGCCCAAGGTGGGACCTAAGGTGACCGTCACTGCGGTTGCCACTGTTACTCGTACTCTAACTGCTACCGGGGATCACACCGGTCCCTCCTTACCCATGGTCCTCCCGTGGAACGCGCCCATGAAGGAGAGGATGCTGTACTCGGGGCAGCCGGGGGCCTAGGACCAAGAAACAGTGGTGGTCAGTCACAGTCGTAGGGCTGGGGGACTGTACTGCTGACCCCGCGCACCTAGAGGAACACACACGTCTATCAGAAGAAGCCGAGTCCCTTCTCAGGACCAAGGGACAGACCAAGTCCTAAGGTCTGCATCCAGCCCACAGACATTCTGTTTTGCCCTTAAAGTAAAAATGAGATTTAATGTAAGTATCTCAACTTCTGGCTTCTCACAAGTTCTGCATCATCTGGGCCCATTTTCCTCCTGTGGCCACAGCAGGCGGCCAAGCCTAAAGGCTGGATGAGAGCTTGCTGCGCTAGGGCCCAATACCTGCCTTAGGCCTTGACGTCACCTGCTGGTCTGCTATGGCTTTTGAGTTTGGAACTCCTCCTGCGGCCAGACTGCCCTGGCTTCCACTGCCCTGATGGGCCAGGTGTCTCCCGGGACACGAGGCTGGAGTGGGCATCTCACCGGAAGTGCCCTGGGCCTTTGGAAGGGGTCTGTGGGGCTGGGGCAGGAGTGGCACCCTCTTCCTCTAGAGGCTGCCCCGGGCTCAGGAGGGAGCAGGAACTCCCATGTGGATAGCACAGCGGCCTTGTTTCCTGAGCCCCCGCCGGGCCAGACCCGTTTCCAGCTGCTTCATGCAGACGACTGGGGACCCAGAGATGCTGGGAGGCTCATATCGTGTTTCCTCAGGCTGGTTGATCTCCCCCAGGTCCCTGAGAGCCCCGGAGAAAAGCACCAACCCCCCTCTCATCCCCTCCAAGCAAACTCTGGAATACCCTCCTGTCACTTTCCTTGTTTGCCCCCTGATGCAGCCATGACATGTGAGCAATGGGATCTACAAATGTTGATGGAACAGGATGTCCATGGGGATCAGGTGAGAAGGAGGGAGGGCACGATCCTGTTTTTAAAAATGGCCAGAAGGAAGAAGAGAATGCTTAAGTTTATGTAGGTTTGTATGAACACACAGAAAGGGGTGGATTAGGAAAAAAAAAAAAATTTAAGGAAGCATGAAAAGAAATTAAAAGCAATCTTACCACCCAGAGGCAACCCACTGTAAACATATTAGCAGGACTTCTTCCAGTAATCTCCTGTGTATTTATTTACATGGTTGACAGCACAGTGTCCATGCAATTAACATTCCACTGTTTTCACTAAATTACAGCACGCGTGTCTCCAGGCCAAGAGAAACCCTTTGTGACTGTTTTTGCAGAATCTTGTGGATGTATGCAGGGGGTCGTTGAGTTCAGTGGCTCTTGATTTTTTTTTTTTTTAATAGCAGACACTTCTGTCTCAATCACTGAATGGGGGAGGACAGGCCTGCTCTGGTTGAAGCTGGTTGGGGAGCTTGAGATCTACCCACCTGGTTCTTCCTGTGCCCCCACCCCCACCCCTCACCTCCGACACTGGCCTCCTCGGTGTCTCTGTGGATGAAGCCCTACACTTCATTCCCCTGTCCCCGTTACTGGATATATAGCTGGTTCCCAATTTTTCCTGGTTATCAAGACTATAAGCACCAATGGGCTGAACACCCTTGTACATGCCTTTGTGCTGACATTTTGGATGATTCTGGAGAGTATATTAAAGGCTCCTCAGACAGTCAAATTCAGGCAGCTGTCCTGGGAAACTGATGAGTGCTGGTCAGGAAGGGCTCCACTCAGCCTTGATGCCAGGGGAATGGACCAGGGAGTAGGAATGCTTGGGAACCCCTCGGTAGGGACATGATGTCTGTATCCCTCCCAAATATCCATGTGGAAGCCCTCACTCCCAATGTGATGGTGTTTGGAGGAAGGGCCTCTGGGAGGTGATCAGGGTTGGATGAGAGCATAGGGTGGGGCCCTGGTGATGGGGTTGGTGCCCTTAGAGGAAGAGACCCCAGAGTGCCTGCTCTCTCCTGGACATGTGAGGACATGGTGAGAAGGCACCATCCACAGGCCATGCAGAGAGCCTGGCCCAGGGAACGGAACTGACCTTGACCTTGGACTCCAGCCTCCCCAGCTGTGGGAAAATACATCTGTTGTGTAAGCTGCCCAGTCTGTGTGTGGAATTCTGTTACGGGTGCCGAGCTGCATGAGACACCTCCTCCCTGATAGGGCCAGGGTCTGTGAGGGGCCGGGGCAGAGGGCCCGCTGCGCTTACCTGGTTGATCATGCACGTCTCTAGCTCCTCTTTGGAGAAACCCGTTTGACCCCTTTCCTTGTTCTGACAAAACAGAACAGACAAAATCTCAGAGACTCTCCAGGGAAGGAGGGGCTTCCACGTTGCACTCAGACCCATGTTCAGTTCGGGTCCCTAGTGAGTGCTTTCTCCCGGCTATTCACATACACCAACCGGTCCGAGTATGTACTAATGCATGAGATTGTTCATTGTGCTTGCAACAACTTAAGGAGAGGAATACACAGGTGCATTATTGTTCTGTCAGCAACAACAAGAGCTGCTGAGATAGTGTATATGATGCCAAGGAAAACCAGTGTAATGAAATTGGGTTACTCGGGTCTTCCCACCCCCGCCGTGGGAGGCTTGGGAAGCCCTGTCCAGGTAGTGGCCCTCTCTGGATTTTAACCGTGGTGACTGATGTTCACTACTCTGGCCAGGGGGGATGTGCAGCTGGACAGGGGGCGAGTGTGTGGCTGGGGGCTGGGGAGGCTGTGTGTGTGTGTGTGCTCATGTGCGCACAAGCACGTGCTCATGCCCCAAACCTCACCCGGTACCACATGAAGATTGTCTTAAAGGCATTTTCATTCGAGCAGGAGCCGCAGGACATGGTGATGAGCTGGGACATCCCTTTGGGAGCCACCTGCAGGGAGAGAAACAGCTGTGGCCTCGGCTCCATCTTGACTTCCACATGGCCCTAGATGGTGCTGAGCCTCCACAGGGGCACACCCTGGGCACTGGGGGCTGTGGGGCCCAGGAAGGTCCCGAGAGAGGGATCCAGGAAGGTCCTGAGAGCAGAAGGACTGGGAGGGATCCAGGAAGGTCCCGAGGGAGGAATCCAGGAAGGTCCAGGGAGCAGAAGGACTGGGAGGGATCCAGGAAGGTCCAGGGAGAAGAAGGACTGGGAGAACGGACAGGCTGGAGGGCAGGGAGGGATCCAGGAAGGTCCAGGGAGCAAAAAGACTGGGAGAACGGACTTGGGCTCTTCCAGGGTGTGGTGGAGAAGCCCAGGAAGGCCCTGAGGCTGGAGGGCAGGGAAGAAAAAACCACAAAGAAAAGCCCAGACTGTCCTGCCCGGGGCACCCGCCATCCCCTGAGATGCCCACATTTTACAGGTGGGAAGCTGAGGTTCAGAATGACTTTAATTGTAACCACTAAAACCAAAATGTCAGGGAGGGGTGAATAACACACAAAGCTCCGATCATGCAACAAATATTAGTTTCCCCTGGTTCCTTTTCATGTACACAAGGAATCCCTTCTTTTCTTCAAAAGGAAAATTAAAAATGCTCTTCATGAAAGAAACAGCACAAGAGCAAGACTGAAGTAGACATACCCCATCCTCAAACGTGTGGCTCTTAGTCCTTTCCTCCCCCCGCTGGCACCCCCTCCAAGAGATGGAACTGCCTCCCAGCGGGGCTGGAGGGTGGAGGTGGGTCCCAGCAGGGGTGGGCTGTTCCTGAGAACTCACCGAGAGCAAGGACTCCCTGAGCTTCTCCACGAAGTTCTCCGGAGGAAGGATTCCGAGGGCAGGTCTGTTGATGAACATGCTCTGCAAAAAGGCAGGAGACCCAGTGACTTCTCAGCCCTGACCCCGCTCCCCGCCGACCAAAGACCAACCGAGAGCATTTCACAGCAAGTGTGTTCAGATAGGCTGACTTCCCCGCACTTTCAGAGAAATCCACTAGGATTGTTTTAGGTGTAAAAAAGTACCGTCGTATTTCCTGGTTGTGATATTGCACTGCAGTTCTAGAAGATGGTACCGTTGGGGGAAGCCAGGAGAAGGTACACTGTGTACTATTTTTTACTAACTTCCTGAAATTTTATAATTATATTTTTATAATTAAACTATAATTATGATTTTTAAAACCCACCCATCATAGTGGCTAAAAAACAGAGTGGACACTAGCAAGTACTGGGCGAGGATGCAGAGCCACTAGGACCCTCGTTCACGGCTGGTGAGAACGAAGACTGGTACAGTCACTTTGGGAAGCGGCGTGGCCATTTCTCACAATGTTGAACACACATACACCCTGTCAATGGGCAATTCTTCTCCTAGATATTTACCTAAGGGAAATGAAAGCACACGTCCACACAAGGACGTGAGTGTATGTGAATGTGTTCGGTGGCTTTTATTTTTATTTGCCAAAACCTGGCAATGACTCACATGTCCCTCCACCGGGGGAAGGGTAAGTGAAGTGATACCTGCATGCCACGGAAAACCACTCAGCAATAGAAGGAACCATCTACCGACACACGCGCTAACATGAAGGGACACGGAAGAATCTCAAAGTCACGATGCTGAGCGAAAGAACCCAGAATCAGAGAGGTACACACTGCATGGTCCCCTTCATAGGACATTCTGGAAAAGGCAAAACTAGAGGGACACACAGCAGTGCACGGTTGCCAGGGGCTGGGGTGGGATGGACTACACATGGGCTGGGGGAATGTCTGGGTGCTGAATTGTGCTGTGTCTGGATTTTTAAATTCTCTTAAAACAACCTCTGGCCTAAGGAACAGTCCCACACTCAGGGAGCCGCCTTCTTGAAGAAAACCAGCCCCTCCCTGCCTGATGGCTTCAAAACACAGGCGTGCTCCTAGCTGCTGAAGTGACAGGATTGGAGGCACACGCCCGGCCAAGGGTCCCAAATCTCCCCAAAGGCTGGTCTGCAGAGATTTGCTTTAGAGTGAGGATAAAGGAGAACATCTAATTCTGGAAAGACGCCGACCACGGGAGGAATCTCATCCACGCAGGGTGAGGCTGTGTGCTCAGATGGAATAAGACTAGAGCCCTCTTCCCCTGGAGGTCCAGAGTGCCCCAGGCCCGGGACGGGAAGGGACCAGGGAGGGTCTACACAATGGGTAAACAACGAGGTTGCCAGGAGGTGGATTTGGGTTTTAAAAAGCGATTGGGCCAAGTGTAATGTGGCATCCCGGACTAGAACCTGGAAGCAAAAAACAGACATTGGGGAAAGCGGGGGAATCTGAACGAGGTCTGCACTCCATAACGTGCCCGTGTTTAATTCCTTAGTTTTGACGCGGCGCTGTGGGGAGGGAGGTGTTGGCAGTGGGCGAACTTGGTGAAAGGCAGGTGGGAACTGTCTCCACCTCGTCGGTACATCTGAAGCTAGTCTGCAGTTGCATCACCTAGTTAAAAGCAGGGGGAAGGACCGGGCCTGGGGACTGCTCTGGTTCCTCTCTCATCAGTGCCATAATCTCAGCGCAAATCCAAATTGCGCCATCGCTGCAGAGGGAGGCCTCCTGGTGGCTTTGGAATTGGGCTTGGACTGCTAGATTCATACTCTGTTATTTTTTCTGCTTTGTGACCACCTGGGTGAGTCTAGGGTAAGTAGCTGGGGACATTAACCCTCCTTACTGTAGTGCTGGGAAAACTGAGGACCAGAGAGGTCAAGCAACCTGCCGCAAGTCACACAGACCGGGAGGGGCAGAAGCACGACTCCAATCAGGCTTGCCGACTTCAGATTCCATCCTTTGCCAGACACTGCAGGCAGCCTCCACCCAAAAATGTTAATGCAGGATACGAGTTTACATGGTGCAACCCAGAGACGTTGGCTGGCTTGTAGGGGCATTTCCTTTTAGCTCTGAGCTGTTGGTGGGGCTCCTAAGAAATCAAGCACATTGTGAGATCAGGATTGGGGGAGCGCCATCGCTGGTTGGGGGGAGCAGCTCACGGAGGGGACGGCCATGCTGGCTGGCAGGTTGACTGCCTATCTGGGACCAGGGAGGATGTGGGGGTGGTGTTCTTGTTCAACAAAGCATGACATTAAGAACAGAAGATTATCTGGGACATTGGGTAGCAGAATCAAATGAGGACAGGTTTCTAGAACCCTTGCTGTCAGACTCAGCAGTCGTAAAGTGCAGTGTGAAAAGAATGGGCTTGGGTTTCAGTGGCTGTGCAACCTGGGGCACAGGCTAAACCTCTCTGGTCTTCAGAGTCCTTATCCACCCAAATGGGGACTCCTCCCTTGGTGCCTGTAAGGGGCTGGTGAGAGGGCCGAGCATGCGATGGGGCAGCAGCTCAGTCGAGCCGAGCAGTCACGCAGGGGGACAGGCCTGGGGGTCACAGTGGAGGCACGTGTCTGAGCTGAGCAACTCAGCACTCCCAGGTGTCGCGGACAGGAGATGACTCTGCACTGACCAAGCTACAAAAGGTGGGCGGTGTCATGAGCGGCCCTGGTGACATAAGAAACTGGAACTGGAACTGGAACCCAGAAAGTGGATCCAGGGGCCACGGCTTCGTTTTCTGCAGCCACATGAAGTAATGACATTGGAGTTTAAGGGTGATGTGGTTGGGGTACAAAAGGGTTGACTGGCCCCTTCGTAGGACTTCAACAACCTGGCAGGAACCGGCCCTTGATGGAAGACCTGGCATGTCAGCCAGTGGTCCCCCAGCTGGTGGCCCAGGAGCCCCTGCCCTACTGAGCTGATGGCAGCTACCGCTTCTCTAAGACTGCTGGGGGCTCCTTTCACTTGGCCGACCCCAGACTTCTGCAGGACAACAGCATCAGCACAGACTGAGGTCAAGACTGACGCAGACCGGGACCTCACCAGCACCCAGAACAGTGCCCAGCATGCAGCAGGGATTCAATCAATAACTGATGATTGAACAAAAGTCAAGAAATAAGGCTAAAGAAGCAGGAGCCAGACCACCAAAGGCTTGGCATCTGAAGTGGGGCACTGGGGGGCATCCCAGAGGCAGGGGGTACAGGAAAGAGTTCCATGCAAGGCGCAGCTCGGAGGAGGTGAGCATGGGCCTGCTGGGGTGGGGGCTGGTGGAGAGGAGCTGCTGGGGACGTGAAGGCCAGGGCTGGTCCCGACAGGGTGAGGGGTGAGAGGCAAGAAGTGGGCAGGAGGAAGGGAGGATGAAGCCGACTCTCCCGGGTTCCTGGCAGAGACAGGTGGGGGCAGGGCATCCCCTGAAATCACGTGTTTTTGGGGATGATTCTGCCTCCGGAGGCAGCTGACACCGCAAATGTGTGTGACATGTTTGTTGACACATTTTTTTCAGCACCAACTGCTGAGGCATCTGGGATCTGCACAACGTTTCGAAACAAAGCCAGGCTTTGAATGTAAACATCCCCATGGAGCCTCCCAAACGGGCTCACCAGGCACCTTCAGGGGGCCACCCATTTCCACTCCAGCAGCCCCTGAACTTGGCAACAAGCAGGGGCGGACGTGTCCCGAAGCCCCTTCCTGCGGGGCATAGCCATCTCTGAGGGGGCACATGTGGTTCCTTCCTGTTACCTTCAACTCTGCGGGTAAAAAGGGATGGGACTTCAAGCCGGGGAGTCGGTTCCCAATGCACCTCCCCCCCGCCCCCCCCGCCTTGGCCTGGCTTAGATCTCTCTTGAGGAGTCACACTCGCTGTGTCATTTAGTAGAATGAAAGCCCCGCAGCGACACTGGGTGTGGGTGAGGACGTGGAGCAACTGGAACTCCCACGCTGCTATTGGAAGGGGGGGCTGGCAGGAGCTGTGGCCGCCTGCGTGTGTGCATGGCCACACCAGTGGCGGCCAGCGGCAAGGCACGCACGGGGTCCCCAAAGCACACGTGCTCCAACATTCCCCAGCGGTCTTCGGGGGGGATGACCCAACGGTCCAGCGGCAGTAGGATGGGTCCCTTCATTGCAGTGAACACACATGGGGGAAGGCTAGAAAGCCCTGGGCGCTGATGGCCGACGGCTACACACGAGGATGAATCCCTCAGACGGACTTCGAGGGAAACAAGCCAGGCACAATAAAGACGCACCGCACGACTCTGTGCACGTGGCTGGACAGAATGGAAGAAACGCACCTGTGCTTTAGACCTAAGGGGACGGCATCCGGGCGGGGGCGTGCTGTGGGGACCAGGTGCAACTCACGCATTCTCATCAGGGGTGAGAAACCTCTTCCCCCAGGGATGGGGAAAGCACGGTCTACATGGTACACGTACAGCATATGGCAGAGGAGTATTATAGGCGCTACCTCGGCCTCCAAGCAGATGCCACACCCTCTTGCCATCCCATACCGGGAAGGCGTGACATGCTAAAAGGGACTTTGCAGAAGTGATTAAGGTTCTGGATCCGCTCAGATAGGGAGATTATTCTGGATTTTCCAGGTGGGCTGAGTGCAACCACGTGAGCCCTCTATGAAGAGCAGAAACAGTGGCACCTGGGTGGCTCAGTCGTTAAGCGTCTGCCTTCGGCTCAGGTCATGATCCCAGGGTCCTGGGATCAAGCCCCGCATCGGGCTCCCTGCTCGGCGGGAAGCCTGCTTCTCCCTCTCCCACTCCCCGGGCTTGTGTTCCCTCTCTCGCTGTGTCTCTCTCTGTCAAATAAATAAATAAAATCTTAAAAAAAAAAAAAAAGAAAGAGCAGAAACAGAAGGCAGGCAGAGAGAGGACTGGCCTGGCCACGGCTGGTTTGAGGACAGAGGGACCATAGGGAAACCACGAGAATAAGGTACAACGACCTGAATGAGTGCACAAGCAGATTCTGCCCCACAGCCTCCAGCTAAGAGCTGTGAGACCCTACGCAGAGGGCTCAGCTGAGCCCACCAGACTCCTGGCCCACGAAATCTGTGCCACAATACATGGGTGTTGTTGTAAGCTTCAAAACTGGTGGTAATTGGCCATGGCGTCAATAGGAAACGTGGTGGCATTAACAATGCACCATGACGGGAACAATTAGGAAAATAAACGTCTAAAAAGTCTCCTTAAGGAAGTAATAATGAAAGCAGAGCTGAGAAACACCGGGTTATATGGGACGGTTCACTGAGCAGTGCGCTTGGGGGGGATGCGCGTCTCTGTTTGTGTTACGTTCAGTGTGACCGATCAACGGCTTCCTGACCCTCTCCCTCTGGGTGCTCATCTGGGGGGCACCTCTACCCGCCCAGGGCCCATGCGGCAATGTCCGCAGGCAGGTTCGGTTCTCACAACTTAAGACGGGGATGCTCCTGGCATTGAGTCTGGGAGGCCAGCAGTGCCTCTGAACGTCCTATGGTGCCCAGGACGGCTCCCCGGCAGAGAACCACCTCTTCAACCATCACCGGTGCTGAGACTGACATCTGTCTGCATGGTCCCTAAGTCTGCACACTGTCAGGTCCCTGGCTCGGCTCTGGCCACCTGTCCTCTTTTGCTCCTCATCCTCGCAGCTGCTCTCCCTCCCACTCCCTTCTCCCTGCAGGGGTCCTGGAGGCACTTGCTTCTCCTTCAGTCACTTCCCTGGAAGACTTCCCTGACCCTCGGCCCACTCAATCCCCGACAAGCCCAGGCCCCATGGGTTTTATTCCCAGCATCTCCTCCAGCTGTGTGACCTTGGACAAATACTTAACCTCTCTGTGCCTCAGTGTCCTCATCGTAGGATGGGGATGACAATGGGCCCTGCCTCACAGACTTGTCAACACTGTAGCTGTGAAGTGCTGAACAAGTATAGCAAAGACGATACTTTCAGGGATCATTTCTATAGTTCGTGAAGTGCTGAACGCAGTGTTTGGCACACATTTCACTCTCGATAAATGTTGACCACTATTGCCACCATCATTGTTTCAGGCCGACACAGTACTGTTTGCCTCATTCTGTAGCACGTGATACGGACGCAATCCGATGCTTTTGTGGGAGCGTGGCTCTGTGGTTTTGCTCACCAAGGCATTCCACGTTCCTAGCGAATAGTATGTGCTCCATAAATATTTGTGGAATGAATGAATGAATGAATGAATGGGCTATTTCCAAAGGCTACCCAATGATCCTCTGGATCGCCATGAACACCGCATAAGTGGGGACTCACCGCGTTTTGAGGCTGTTGGATCAGCTTCAGGAGAGCAGGGTGACTGTAGCCTGGTAAGAGAGGGCACGGTTAGAGTCCTGGTTAGAGGCCCGCATGGCGCCCAGGGTCCCTTCACCCCTCCCCCACGGGTGCACCCCACCTTCCCTTCCAACCCTGCTGCTCCCTTCATAAGGGGCCTTGTTATCCCTTGCAGACAAGATCCATTCCTGGGGCCCTCTAAGACCTCTGGACTCAGGATCACTTGGGCTGCTGTCAGAGATCTTCCCAAATTCTCTAGCTGATCCTGAGGCCCAGGTATGAGCCCTACTGGGCTAGACACACAGACGAGGCAGTGAATGCAAGGTTAAGGCCCACTTCAGGACCAGGGCTGCAAGTGGTCCCCCAAGCCATTGTGACAAACTGCAGACGTGGCCCTCACCTTCCTCCCCAGGGCCACTGCTCGGGTCAAATCGTAATAGACATCTGCTCAGGAACTGAGCGAGTGAATGGTGCAGCCTGCAACCCATGACCTGCACTCCCCCACTTTGTACATTTGCTGCTATCCAGAGTCCCACTTCATCGACTGTCCAGACTGAGTCTGAGGTTGCACGACAGGGCTTAGGACACCCTTTGACTCTGCAACTGGTCTTCTACGAATTCGCCCTACACACCCATAAAATGAGCAATGTGCTCCAGTATCTCCAGGCTTGAAGGCAACCCGACACCCACCAGGGGCCATACTGAACAGAAAGCCCTCTGCGCACAGCGCATGCTCAGTCAGGGGAGTCCTTTATCGTAGAGGAGGGAGGACGCTGCACAGCACCGGAGCCAGGGGGTCCCGGGCTCAAGGCCTGAACTTCCGGTTTCTGTTCATCGGTCCCAATCTTGGCAATGACTCCCGAGGGAAGGCCAAGTCTGTGGGGGGCACGGTGGTCAGGAGACCGGATCAGAAGCCCCTCTGAGGCAGTGGCCAAGTATCACGCTCAGTAGATAGTAGTTGAATGAGTGAATGACGTGGAGATCCAGGGACATGGGCAGGAGCCCAGAACTGTCACACCAGAGAGACCAGCCAGTGGATCTTGGAACAGGAAACAGATCTTGGAGGGAAACTCCTGGTCTCCAACTATCAGAATTTTTACCATGCATACCTTGTACCTATTTTCTTTAAGCCAATTCATTTTTTGTTTAAGTAAACTTACTTTGGTTTTTTTCCTTTATTTTTTAAAATTTATTTAAGTAATCTCTACACCCAATGTAGGGCTTAAACCTACAACCCTGACATTGAGAGTCACATGCTCCACCTGCTGAGCCAGCCAGGCGCCCTTAAATGAACTTACTCGGAAAGGGGACTTGCATCACTGAGGTGAGAGGTCTGCCCAAGGCTCTGGGCCTGAGGCCCGTTCTGCTCCACCAGAGGAGGCTAGCAAGTTCAGAGGGGTGGTGAGGCCCTGGCGCTACCCTGGGGAGAGTTTCTCCTCTGCAGCATCTAAGAGTGAACAGACTTGAAGAGCCTTGTGGTTTCACTGCCTGCTTCGAGGAGGGTGGACTGGTGTGTGTGTTGGGGGTGATCTGGGGGTCCAAGGGTTCAGAGCTGTGAGCATCCTCCCTGCCCTCCCACCCTACTCCAGGGCGTGTTGGGCCCAAGGCTGCAGGGTGCTCATTACTCAAGGAAGGAGCACTCTGTGGTTTTTTCCAATTGTATTTAGCCAGAGGTCTTTCAGCTCTGGTTCTTTATCAGGCTGCCTGGGTGTTGATGACTTCTCTGCCTCCGTAGATAAGCCAGTTCCAGGAAAATCTTATTAAACCACAGATAACAGCTTGTCTTACTGACTTCAGAGGAAGAGATGAGAGCAAAGCTGGTCCTTCTGATCAAGGAAATCCACGCCTGGGCTTCTAACGCTATGGGACCCTGCCCTGCAGGCCAGGGCAGGGTGTAGCAGCTGTCTGTGAGGCTGCTATCACAGCAGTAAGTTAGGAGGCAGAGGGCCTTTGGTTCAACTCCTTGGGCTCCCTGCACACACTGGACAAACCCTGTGACCTCTTGAAACCTGGTCCCCGTGGGTAAGCTAGAGATGATGTTAAAAGACCTACAGTTACAGGACTGTTGTGGGGGTCTAATGGGATAGTGTGTAAGGTGCTTAGCAATATGCCAGGCCTGGGGCAAATTCTCAGTAGTTACCTGTTAGAAAAAAATCATCTCAAAGACTACAGATAGGGGAGGAAAGGCAGCCAGAGGAGAACTTTCAGAACTCCCTGTGCTTTCTCAACTTCTGCTGGCCTGATCTCTCACGCCCCCATACATTTGTTGGCTGGTTGGGGATGAGAACTGAGGGAGGCCTGCAGGGGCTGGGGTCAGAAGGATGGTAGAGTTAGCTGGGAAGAGAAGGGCCTGCAGCCCATGGCTGTTACATGGTAGAGCTAGGATTTGACCCTGAGAACTCCAGAACCGGCCCTTTCACTCCAACTGAGAATGCGGACGGGGTTGTGTAAATCAAAGAACCCAAAATGCCTTCAGAGGCCAAAGTGTGTCAAATGATGGGCTTCCAAAAAAGAATAAGTCACCTTACTGTCTAATCGCAACTCAGTGGGAAATAAATAGGGACTGGCATCATGCATGAAGGGACAGGCTTCACCAGATGAGACGCTCAGCCCCTATAGACCATTGAGCGCAGCAGCGACCTGCGTGTCTGTGTCAGCCCTATCTATCCCATCATCTGCCGTGCCCTCCTCCAGCAGCAAGCCAGGCTCTGTATGGGCCAGAGGTAAGCCTGGTGAGGCACATGCTGCTGGTGCCCCCACTGCTCACCTTGGCTGGGCAGGCCACCCCTCTCCCAGCTGCCTGTGTGGGGGCCAGTAACAGCTCCAGCTGCCTCTTTTTCTGGAAAACTGCCCTTGGTGAATGGAAGCCCCTTTGCCCAAGAGATGAGCCGTGTCCTTCCTGCAGGCACCTAACAGGCAATGACTGACTGCCACTGGGGTACAAAAAGGCCAGCCTCTTTGATGCTGCCTGGGACCAACTCTGGGGTGCAAGTCATGCTCCAGAGCCCCCTGTGGGATCAGGCCATGGCTAGTCTCTGGCTGAGACCTCATCCTTCTTAGCCCTTCCCTCTCTCCCCTGTCTCCTGAGAGCATGCCCTTAATAAGCAACTTGCACAGAACCCCTGCCTCAGGCTCTTCTATGACACCTAACCTAAGACAGCTGACATTAAAGGCTAGGGTTCCACAGACCTGGGCTCATGTCCCGGCCATGCTTCCTCTGCAAGCCACGTCACCTCTCTGAGCTTTGCTTATCTATCTACAAAATGGGGGCATTAATACATACTCACCCTGTGGGGTTTCGAGGAAGAGTCAATGAGAGAAGAGAAGGCACATAAAGTCCCTATAATAGACCCTCTACCAATTACTTGCTCCTTTTCTCTGCCCTTGAAGGAAGTGTCTGGCAGCACACAGGGATGTGTGTACTGGAAGGAGCATCTAAAGTCTGGACTGCCACAACTAACAGAGAGGAGGTACATACGAGGGTAGGTATCCCAGCTCTTACCTATGGGAACAGAGGAAATCTGGGAGTATAGGTCCAACATCCGGTTGCCATCCACATCGACCAGGTAATTGCCTCGGCTCTCTTCATAATTGCAGAAAAAGTGCACAGCCTCTGCATTCTTGGAGAAAACAGAGACTGATTCAGCGTTGCCACAATCCCCTAGATTCTTCGTCTTTTGGGATGAAGCTTGAACTGGTGAAGGAAACCATATCCTGCCCATTCTATGGTCACACAGAGGGTATCTGTGGGTGCTTACATGAATGGTTTGCTTTATAATAGTTTACTAAGCTGTAAATTTGTATTTTATGAATTTTTCTGTATTTTATATATCACAACAACAAAAGGTTCAGAAATAAATCTGAAGAAGATTCTGATGTTAAGATGATGGTAAGCCTTAGAGCAACCATGAAGAAAACTAAAAAATATATAGTAATTATGAAAGAAATTAAAGTAGCACACTAGAAGATATCCACTTAATGCAAAAAAAAGTAAAAGAGGAACAAAAATATATGAGACATATAGAGAACAAAGAGTAAAATGGAAGATATAAATATAACAATGAGAACATTAACTGTGTGTGCATTAAACAACCCAATCAAAAATCAGAAACTGTCAGATTGGATAAAAAGATGCAACTATATGCTGTCTACATGAGACATACTTTCAGTTCAAGAATACAAATAGGTTGAAAGTAAAAGGATGGAAAAAGATACATGATTCTTAGAGCAATCCTAGGAAAGCTGAAATGGTTTATATTAATCAGACAAAATCAATGTTAGACAAAAGTGTTTCTAGAGGTGAAGTCCACTAAAAAGATATAACAATTATAAACATGTAAGCACCTGATAACAGAGCCCCAAAATACATGAAGCAAAAATGGGCAAAAGTGAAGAAAATATAGTTATAAGAGAAGAGCTGGCAGCTTTAATAGCTGGCTTTCAATAGTGGATAAAACAAACAGGCAGAAGATTAACAAGGAAATAAGACTTGAACAACACTCTAAACCAACAGGTCCCACAAACACTTATGGAACACTCCACCCAAAAGTCGTAGAGCACACATTCTCCTCAAGTGTACATGGAACATTTTCCAGGATAGACAATATAAAAGCCTCAGTAAATTTAAAGGGATTGAAATCACACAAAATATGTTTCCCAACCACAACAGAATGAAACTGGAAATCAGTAACAGAAGGAAATTTGGGAAGTTCACCAAAACGTAGAAACTAACACATAAATAACAAATAAGTCAAAAAAGAAATCATAAGGGAAATTAGGGGGGGAAAAAAGGTTTAGAACAAAGTCAGTTGCATTTTTTTTAAAGAGCTGGCACAGCCTAAATGTTTGTGTCCCTCAGTTAAGTCATGACAGAGAAGTAGTGGAGGGGATGCTAGCTCATCCTCACTTACCTGAATTATATTCAGCTGTTTCATTAACTCCTGCAGGCAAGAAGAGCAAAAGCATTATAGCAAGGACATACTCTTGCCAAAGAAACTTCAAGTCTTTCAAGTCTTGGGGCTTCCCCCAACCCTTATGCCAATAACTTCATAGTTAATTAGTCAGCAATATTATAATTGTTTAAAAATTGCTTAATATAAATAGTTGGCAGGAAACTATTCCTGCCAGTTACATTACCAGTGTAACAGAGATTTAGAAACTTGAAAGGATAACAATAAAATAAAATATTTAAGCTAAAGGTATTTATTTAGTGCTCATAAAAGCATAGGTCTCCCCCCCTCCTTTTTTTAAGTAGGCTCCACACCCAGTGACCTTGAGATCAAGACCTGAGCTGAGCTCAAGAGTCGAACGCTTAATGGACTGAGCCACCCAGGCACCCTGGTTCCCTTTTCATTTGGGAAAAAAGGCTTTAACACCGTTAGAAAAAATAAAATCAACTGAAAATACAAACTTGCTCATCAAAGAACCATTTATAATTATAATCTGAACACTCCAAAAACCACATGTACAAGTCTGTATAGAAACTGGGAATTAGGGCGCCTGGGTGGCTCAGTTGGTTAAGCGACTGCCTTCGGCTCAGGTCATGATCCTGGAGTCCCTGGATCGAGTCCCGCATCGGGCT